TGAGAGGGGCTCATCAGGGCGTCAAACTCATAAAGTGCATCGCCGCTGTAGCTGTCCCGGGGCAGTCGGTCCTTCTTGAGCTCCTCTCCAGCCTCATCCTCCGGCCCTGGCGTGGTGGAGTCGTAATATCCCTCATCACTGTTCGGGGCAGACTCCTGCTGGTCACTCTGGGGTGTCAGGAGGTCAACGCCGTCCATGGCGTCCCCCATGTAGGGGTGGGCGTCAGCATCGTGAGAGGCGTGCGTCTCCAGGCTGCTGCTGGACACTTGGGCCCCGTAGCTCCTGTCCCCAGGCATGCTGCTGTCCCACACCTGCTGCAGGTACTCCTCGGCCTCCTCAGGGATGGCCATCTCCTCGCCGCCGCCCTGGTAGGTGACGAGGCAGGAGCTGCGTTTGGCGGTGTCGCGGCTGCGCTCCACCGAGATGCTGCTCTCGGCGATGTCGGGCTCGGCGATGTCATCCCCGCACCCCGTCAGGGAGTCGAAGCTCTTCAGGGAGGTGACGTCCCCCAGCATGAGGCTCAGCAGGTCCCCGGAGTGCAGGCAGGGAGGCTCATTGTCCATGAAGTCAGGGTGGAAGGCCAGCAGCAAACTCTCATGATCAAACTCAGCGCAGGTGGCAGCCTCGGCCTCTGATTTTGTATCTGGAACATCCCCGTTCCCGGGCACGGCCATCGCGTCACCCTCGGAGCTGCCTCCATCGGCCGCGGGGCCCGTGGGCTCAGTGGCCTCACCACAGCTGGAGTCAGCCACCGCGCCCCCCAGGCAGGCCGAGGCCTCAGGGACCGGCCCTGCTCCCCTGCCCTCCACAGCCCCTCGGCTCTCCACTCCCATTCCAGGAGCATTCCCGGCCTCCTCCGTGTCCCCGTTCCACTCGGGGAGCTCTGTCTTCTCACTCTCGGCAGCCTTGCTCTTCCGGTGGCGCCGGATGCTGTTAAAAAACCCTTTCAGCCCTTTTTTGGGTCTGGGGAAAGATTTCTCCCCGTTGGGCTTTTTGTCACAGCCCTCGATACTCCCGGGGGGAGAGCTGTCCTGCTGGCCCAAATCCGCCCTGGTGCCGGTGTCCACGGCCAGCTGGGCGCTGCGGGAGCTGGGCAGGGGGCCGTGCTGCCCATCCCTGCTGCCCTCCGAGGGGCTGTCTGGCTGGGTCCCTCCGCCCTTGTCACAGGCAGCACTGCTCAGCCCGTCGTGGGTCTTGCACTTGCTGAGCCCCTTCTTGCCGCGGCCGCCGAAGAAGCTGGGCAGGGTGCAGATGCTGCGCTTGCCCCCGAACAGCTTGAAGGCCGTTTTCCTCAGCTTGCCGGGGGGCGGCTGCTGCGGCTCCGCTGCCACCACGGAGCCGTTGGCGCTATCGGGAGGGGCGTCCCCACCCTCCTGCCGCCGCTGGTCCCCTCCGTCCCGCTCCTCCGGGCTGCCCGTTTCCATGGCAGCGGGGCGGGCTTGGATCTAGCTGGAAGCGGCGGCTTCGGGAGCGCGGAGCTCCGGGAGCAGGGATGGACACATCACCGCCGACCTGAGGCACAGGGAGAGGACACAGGTGAGGACACGGCAGCGGAAGGGGCAGAGCTGAAGGCACCGCGGTCTCGGGGCTCCATCACCAGCTGGAGCTCCAAGCTCTCCCTCCACTTCCAAAATCCAGGCACCAAAATGTCGCTTAAACTTACCAGTTTGCCAGAGTGGGGGAACCACACATCTCCATGGGGAAGAATCCCCGGGGACAGGCAGGTCTGAGCCCTGCACCTCCCCAGATTTTTTATCTCCAGGGTGATCAAGTTTGGCTACCTTAAAGTGAGAGCTAGCACCTCCCAAACCTCCTCTCAGCTTTCCCAGCCCTCATGCCTCCGAAGAGCATCCTGAGGGAGGCCAAACCAGGACACAGCCCTCCCTACGCACATGTCCAGGAAAAAACACTTCAGTTGCTATCCTGGCTCTTTTTATAGAAGATTTCAGTTGTTTTTAAAATAATCTGTCCAACGAGAGAGAATCGCCTTAAAAACACCCACTGTGAACCCCCTGATCAGATTATCCTGGAAGCAGAGAGGTAGGTTTGCAATTTGACCCTGGATTGCTGTCAGGAACAGGACAAATAAAACAATTATAATCGTGTTTCTTTTGCAGAGGTGAGGGTAGAGAAATTAAATACAATAAAACCCTAATGTGCTCCCAAGCTGTAATGCCTCAGGCTGAGCTCTGACTGACAGGAGGCCAGGAAACCTTCCCTAGCTGTTTAGCCAGAGATCCCAAATTAAAAATACATCCAAACGATGCTCTCTGCTCCTGCAGCCCCACAGCAAACCCACAATTCCAGGTTTATTTTTATTCCTCAGGTCTGGGTTGCTTTGCCTCTATATTGATCTGGCATCGCTGCCCTCAGCACGGCTGGAACTGGATGGGCCTTAAGGTCCCTCCCAACCCAACCCATTCCATGATCCTGGAATTCTGGGATTGCTGATAACCTCTCACGTTCACCTGTCCCACTGGAAGCGGCAGCCGGGGCGTAGCCGGCTGGCACAGCCACCTCCCCAGCGGCAAACTGGGATCTTCCAGCTCTGAAGAGCCCAGCACGAGTCCCAGGTGCTTCCAAAGCCTCTGGAGAGACCTGGATAGAGGGGCCTGGGAGAAACGCCCGCACCTGGACACGTGCTGGAAAATCGGGGGGTGAAATGACCCCAACCCTGCACCTGGACAGGGGCTGCTGGAAAACAGCCGGGGAAGGGCATGAGACAGAGCCAGGATTTCAAAAATTCCTTTTGGGAATCATTCCTCTCCAGCTCCACGTCAGCACCGGCACTGCTGCGGAGGGGAGGCTGGAGAAAGATAAAAAATGAAATAATTTTTAAAAAATGAAATAAAGAAAAATAAAGGGCATCGAGGGCAAAGAGCCACGGCCGATCAAACATGAAAAATAAGGTTTAAAAGCAACAAAAAAGCAGCACCGTAACAATGAAACGCAGCGTTTCACCCACAGAGGGGACCCTCGGGGACCCCTGGCCCGCCCAGCCCCGCACGGGGACGCTCCCGCAGCCCGGCCCTCCCCGCTCCCGCCGCCGCGCTCCCAAACTTTCGGGAGGATCCGGGAAAACGCGAGGGGCGGGGAGGGGTGGGGGGGTCGGGCCCGGCCGCGGGGACGCGGCTCGGCGGGCGCGGGGAGCGGCGGGCCCGGGCCCGGCGCTGTGCCCAGCACTTACCGGCGGGGGCGGCGGCACCGCGGCAGCCCCGGCACCCCCGGGGCCCCGGCCCCGGCCCAGCCCTCAGGCCGCGGAGGGGCGCGGGGCCGCGGGTCCGCCCGGCTCGGGCGGCAGGGGCGGCGCCGCGTGACGGGAGGGGCGGGGCCTCCTGACGGGGGGCGGAGGGGGCGGGGCCTGGCGGGCGGGGCGCAGTGATTGACGGGCGCGGCGGGGGAGGGGCGTGGCCTCTGCGTGAGGGAGGGCGCGGTCTCCACATTGGGATGGAGATCACGGGGCGGGGTCACCGTGACGGGGCGGTCCCCACGGTGTCCCCCCACGGCCATCCCTCGGTGTCATTCCTGGTGGCCCGGGGCGATCCGGGGACGTCCCGGTGGCGGGGTGGGCGTGGCCTCAGGGCGAGTCCCCGGGTTGGGGGCGGGAGTGGCGGGATTAGGGGGCGTGGTCACCCCGGTGGGGGCGTGGTCTCTCGCGGGGCGTGGCCGTGGGGCGACACCCGCGGGCCACGCGGGGTCACGGACACGGCACCGGGGGCTGTCGTGTCCTGGCCTGTGACCCTGCGGGGGCCAGAGACGTGACAATGTGACAATGGGACATGGTGTGTGACACCGTGGGGACGGGGACATGGCGTGTTTCTCGTGGGACACCTCCCCACGCGCTCTGTGTCACCCACGGGCGTGTCACCCGCGCCACGCCACCCCCAGCCACCTTCCCTCTGCACGCCCGCTCACACCCACAGCTCCACACACACTGAGCAGCCCGGCAGGGAAGACCCCCTCCTCATTCTTGGGACCCCCCCAAATCCCGAAAGCCCCTCAAATCGCCACGCGAGGGTGACAGCAAGGGTGTCACGAGTGGCAATCACACCAGAGCGTGGCAATGTCCCCGCGGGACAGCCTCTCCCTGCCCCCATCTCCCACTGTGCTCCCGAAGCTGGCTGGGTGGGCAGGGAAGTGGCACCGGTGTCACCATTCCCTGTGGAGCCTTGTCCAGGCTGCTTCCAGGCCCTAATGCTCCCCTGGGAGAGGCCCCACAGCCTAATTAATAGATGCTGATTAATAGATGGTGATTAATAGACGCCACAAGCCCTGACACGAGCCCATAAACCCTGCAGGGAGGTGCCTGTGTTCGGCCCTTGGAGCTGCTGACACGGAGCTCTGAGCCCTGGCAGCGCTTCCCTGTGGGATGCCACAGGGCAGGAAGGAATGAACCGTGGGACACCTCCTGCTGCATCCCAAAAGTGGTGCACGACATCTCTGGAGCTCCAAGGAGCAGCGGGATTTATCCACCAGCTCCTGGCAGGAAGGCACCTCCAGTGAGGTGAGGTGGAGGGACACAAAGTTGATCCTGGGATACTCCAGACCAGCCTGAAATTCCCAATCTGCAGCGATTCCCTCGTCCCTTCCGGGACCTGGCGGGGCTGCCAGACGTGGGATGTTTCACCAGACAGGCCACAACACTTTAATACCAATAATAAAACACTTGTAATTCAAACCCCAACCCTACCCAATCACGAAAGACCCTCGGCCGCAACATGAAGCGCTTTTGGGGTGAGAAGATGATGTTTAGGGTCAGAGCCGGGCAGGGAGGGACCCTGGGCAGTCTCCCAGCCCCTCCTGTGCTGCCAGCTGGGAGCTCTGTCCCCACTGGGGTGGGCACACACGGCCGGGGCCAGCCCCAATCCTGCCCCTCCCAAGTGGAGGAGGCACTTGGGAACTTCTCTGGGAATTGTGGAATCCTGAGGGACCTCAAAGCCCATCCAGTGGCACCCCTGCCACGGGCAGGGACACCTTCCACCCTCCCAGGGTGTTCCAAGTCCTGTCCAGCCTGGCTTTGGGCACTTCCAGGGATCCAGGGACAGCCACAGCTGCTCTGGGAGCCTGTGCCAGGGCGTCCCCACCTTCACTGGGATGAACTCCCATCCTCACAGCCAACAATTCCTCCACATTTTTTTTCCCAGCCCTTTCTCCAACCAAAATCAGCTGAAGGTGTAAAATCCCTCAGTAAAGATGGTCTGAGGCAACCCCAGGGGAATCAGATCCTCGCTTTGCTGCAAACCAGGAGCTCCTGTTCTCTCTCCCCCCTCCCTTCCCACCCTTCCACACGGGCACCGCTTTCTGGAGACACCTCGGCAGCAAAAGTGACCTTACGACCACAAACTCCCAGTGTTTTCATGGATTTCAGCGATTCAGTGCCAGGGTTGGAGCAGGTTTTAGCTGGAGTGTCCCTGGGGGCAGGCTGGGATCAGGGCTGGTGCTGGAGGTATTTGGCCAGGACTGCGGGGATCTGCAGCTCTGCGAGGGCGGCCGAGCGGCCGGGCTGCTTCAGGAGACGCCTCATGGCCAGCCGGGATTGGGACAGCAGGGATTTGGGATGAGCTGTGGAAGGAAAATCACACGGTCACCTTCAAGACACACAACCCAACCCGGCATTATCCGAAGGAAAGGGATGTGGATTGAGCAAAGCAGACAGGGTTGGAACAAAATGATCTTTAAGGTCCCTTCCAACCCAAAGCGTTCCAAGATCCTATGAAAACTCCATGATCCTATAAAAACTCAACCTCTGTACTGGGGCTGGGGCTGTGGACTCGGAGAAGAAATCTTCCATCCCCACATGGAAATAAGTGCAGGATTTTAGACATGGGCATACAGGAGAGGCCAAGCTGAGCAGCAGAAAGGAGAGCAAGGGTGAAAAGCAGCCCTTAACCCAACAAAGTGAGGGAAACCCAGGCTGTGGGAATCATGGAACCACAGAAGGCTTTTGGTTGGGAAGGAGATTTAAGCTCATCTCATTCCACGGGCAGGGACACCTTCCACTATCCCAGATTGCTCCAAGCCCTGTCCAACTTCCAGGGATGGGGCAGGGGTGGGACAGCCACAAACCCGCACATCCAAGCCATGCTGCGAGGGGAACCGAAGGAAAACCCGAGGCTGGCTATCGGGAAGAGGGAATCAGAGCAAAGCCGTGCCCATTCCCACCCCGGGCCACGCAGCCAGGTCACCTCTGGCCTGCAGCAGCAGCTCCAGCCCCTCGCTGCGCGGCGCCCCGTCCGCGGGCACCCTGGGCAGGTACACGTTGGCCCCGAAGTCGATGAGCAGCCGGACGAAGTCGGCGCGGCAGCCGTGCCTCAAGCACGTCTCCAGCAGGGTCTTGGGCTCGCGGATCTGGGCCAGGACCCCCTGCTCGGTGCAGTTGTAGTCGGGGTCGGCGCCGTGCAGCAGCAACAGGCGGAAACACTCCAGGTGCCCGTAGGCCGCCGCCAGGTAGAGCGGCCCCGAGCAGGCCACCGAGTTGGCCGCCCACTCTGGCAGCCGGGCCTGGACGTTGGGCTCGGCTCCGTGCTCCAGCAGCTGCCGCAGGATGTCCTCGTGGCCGTCCCTGGCGGCCAGCAGCAGCGGCGAGCAGTTGTTGTAGGCGCTGCCCACGGGGCTGGCGCCGGCCTGCAGCAGCAGCCGCACGCACTCGCGGTGCCCGTTGCTGACCGCCACGAAGAGCGGGGTCTGAGCCTTCACGTCCAGGCTGTCCACCTCGGCGCCGTGGGCCAGCAGCAGCCGCAGGCTCCGCACGCAGCCCCGGCTGGCCGCCAGGCGCAGGGGGGTGCTGGGGACCCCCCAGCCGCTCCTGCGGTTGATGAGCCTCTTGTACCTGTCCTGGGACAGGAGCCCGGCCAGCGCTTCGGGATCGTCCTGGCACACGGCCCTGCTCAGCTCCTCGCTGTCCTCGCTGTCCTCCTGCTCATCCCCGGGCTGCAGCAGGGAGAACAGCTTGTTGATGTCCATGAGGCTCATGGTGTCGGCTCTGTGCTCCGTGTGCCGCTTTCATGGTAAAGGATGGGGCCGAAGATCTACAGGACGGCAGAAGCAGCACCACCCCCGGGTTAGAACCAGTCCCTGACGCCCACAGCTGCCTTTTAGTGGAAGTTTATACCCAGCATAAGGAAGATTCTCCAAAAACATTGGCTGAGGATGCTGCTGATGTGCTCATGGCCCTGGCAGCACGTGGGTGAATGGCTGAGGGAACGGTGGAGCTCGGTGTTGTAGCAGTTAGGTGGGTCAGGATCCCATAAAATCATGGAATGGTTTGGGTTGGGAGGGCCCTTAAAGCCCACCCAGTGCCAGCTCTGCCATGGCAGGGACACCTCCCATTATCCCAGGCTGCTCCAAGCCCTGTCCAGCCTGGTCTGGGACACTTCCAGGGATCCAGGGGCAGCCACGGCTTCTCTGGAAATTCTATTCCAGCCCCACCCAGGGAATAATTCCTGCCCAATATCCCATTTATCCCTGCCCTCTGGCAGTGGGAGCCATTCCCTGTGTCCTGTCCCTCCATGCCTTGTCCCAATTCCTAAAGGATGAGGTGAATGAGAAGTGCTCAGTTTGATTAGGGATCAAACCTCTTCCAGCATCTCCCTTCCCAAACTATGCCAGCGCTAGAATCCCACACTTTTCCTCCCTCCCGCCTGCTCCAGCCCGATGATCACGGCCTCACGAAGGCTCTGGGATGTTTTTTGTGAGGGATTTGGGGGAGGCAGGGTGGGAATGCTGATCCCACCGGGTGGGACTGGACCGTGCCAGCCTGGCTGGGCTCTGGGCACAGGAGTGGCCTCAGGGGACAGGGATGGGATGTCCCTGCTGGCACCTGAGCAGCTGGAAACGCTCGGGACGGGCACGGGAATTTCTCGGCAGCCCCGGGGGCATCTCGTGTTCCCTTGGGAGCTGGGGAAGAGCTGATTGCAAGGAGCAATTCATTAGCAAACAGTTAATTAGCAGGGGGGCTGCACGGAGCATTCGGTCTCTGGTGCCGGGGGACCTGTCCCCACATCAGCCTCGGGGACACGGCCACCAGCTCAGGGGGAGCCCGGCAAGGCCACCGGGACACTGGGGACACTGGGGACACTGGGGACACTGGGACAGGTCTGCTGGCAGCCAGGCTCAACCGGGACAGAAACGTGGCAAATCTTAAAGATGCTGCTCCTCATGGCAATGAACTGCAGAGCTTTGGGATCACCCCAGGCACAGGGATAACGGGCTGAGGGTTCCTGCAGATCCCAGTCCAGCAGACAGCTGTGTTCCCAGTTACATTCCCAAGGGAAACTGGGAGCACAAGTTAAAAAAGAGCAGCTGAGACATTTCCTGAATGCACAAACACCTCCAAAGGGAAGGTCCCTGGGCTGCCTGAGATCCTGTGGAGCTGAGGGAGGTTCCTCAACCAGAACTCACCAAATCACAAAATGGTTTGGTTTGGAAAGGAATTTAAAAGTTGATCTCATCCCACATTCCACTATCCCAGGCTGCTCCAAGCCCCAGTGTCCAACCTGGCCTGGGACATTTCCAGGGATCCAGGGGCAGCCACAGCTGCTCAGGGCACCTCCCTCACTGTTCTGTCACCCCCTGAGCTGCCAGAAGCTGTCCAGACCCCAAAAAGAGGTGGTGACAGAGGACATGGGGCACTCATTTGTCCCTGGGGGTCCCAGTCCCCCCCTGCCCGCCCAGGTGCCGCCTTACCTGGGTGTGAGGGATGCTCAGAGCACCAAGGGGGTCCCATGGGGAATCCCCCCGTGGTTTAACCCCGAAAGGAGCAGAGCAGGCGAGGATCGGGCAGAGCTGGGATGGACGGGGCTCCGAGGGGCCGGAGATGTGCAGCTCACAGCTGAAATGCCACGGCAGGACCGGCCCGGGGCTAATTTTAGCCCCTCTGGGGTTTTATCTTACCACTTCCATTCTTGGAAAGCTCCCCCTGGGTAAATATAGCGGGGTGGGGGGAGGCTGGGACAGGTGCTGGAGGCTGCTCGAGCCCTCTGAGCACACACAAAGCTTTTTCTCCACTGTTTCCTCACAGAAATCGCAGGGAACGGGGCGGTTTGGGGTCCCTACCTCACCTTGGCTGCTGCCAGGCACTCGAATTCCCTCTCAACCCCTCTCCTGCCCTCCCTCCCCCTTTTCAGAGTGATACAAATGGCCACTTGCAATCTGCAGAACGATTTATTAGATACCAGAAGGACAAAAGGTCCTGAGGATGGGCCAGATTTCCCACCTGAGCTGCTCTGGGCTGCACCTGCCAGAAGGAACCACAACCAGAGCTTCCCAAAATTAAACAGGACCCAGGAAGGCAAGAAACCTCCCAGGGCAAACAAAAGGAGTGGGAAACAGCACAGGGGCTCTTATCAAAAGCTGTCAGCTGGGAAGTGCAATCCTGTTTTATCCAGCTCCCTTTAAACCCTCTCCAAACTCCTCAGCGGTGGAGCAGGAAGGGGTTGGAGGTTTGGGGCAGCCTTATCACGGTATGAGATAATGAGAGAGACCCAAATTATCCAGCAGGAAAATCCCCACTGCTGCAAGAAGCGAAATCAGGGCGCTCTGTGAAATGTGTGATCTGTGCCAGCATCACTTCCCTGCTCTGGAGCCTCCCCACGGAAAGCCTGGGAAATGGTCAACATTGATTTGGTTTAGACTTTTGGTTTTCCTCTCCAAATTCACTCAAAAATAGATTATTGCTTCACAAAGGTCAATCCCCCAAAGCCAGCAGCAGGAATGGAATTACAGAGTGCGATGTGGATGAACCCTGGAGCAGGAGAGGGGAGTTTGGGGTTACTTTTCCTGAGTGTCAGGAAGATGCTGCGGCCACAAAAGCCAAGCCTGGCTGGAAGCCCCTTCCACAAACCACAGAAATCAAAGCAGCCATGAAAAAGACAGAGTGTTACAAAGGGGAAAAAGGGAATGCAGACAAGAGAAGTGCTAGAAAATGTGAAATGTGAGAAATTTGGAGATGAAAGGAAAATCCTTGAATGACAAATTAATGATAAACTGCTTATTCTTTTGTTGCTGCTGCTGTTTAGTTGTTAACCAAGGATCTCAGGAACAGGGAGCAGATGAAAACCCAGCTTTGAGGCAAACCTGAGAACCCCCAGCCCAGCTGGAATCCTGCACGGACACTCCTGGAGCAGGAACCTTTCCTTCCATCCGTCATTCAGGGGATATTTCCAGCAGCAGAGCCAGAGCAACCCCAGCAGGAGCCCAGGCAGAGGTGGAAGAGCAGCCTGACCCATTTGGGATCAGCTTCCCACTGCTCCAAACCCCAGGGAAGGACGAGGAGCTGGGAAAAGCTTCCACCTCCTGCCTGAGCTCAGGGTCTGGCCTGGCCTCTGCCCCAGACCAAGCAGCTCTTGGTCAGCCCCCCTGGTAACTGGGGAAGAATTAGAGGGCAGAAGGGTATTTAATGCCAGTCAAATGAGTTTTTTGGGAAGGTAAATCCTGTCCAGAGTTGCTTCCATTAAAGAGATTATCGTTATTAACGCAGCTGAGAAGAGCTAATGAGCTTGTGGATTTAGCAGGGCTAATCAGTTAAAAGTTTAGAGCTAAACAGTCCCAAATAAATGATTTTGCAGGGATTAGGGATTTACTAACAGTGCTCAAGGTCGGGGGGAAAGCAGAGCTGGGGAGTGGGGCTGTTGTGTCTCCTGCTTTGGGCCGGGAGTCAGGGCCACAGCACAGCTCTGGAATGTCCCTCTGTGCCCTCACAACTGCTCCCAACATTCCAAAACTCATCCCTGGGGAGAGGCTGCTCACCTCGGGGAGTGGGAGTGGCTCCAGAGCACCGGGATCCAGCTGGGATCCAGGAGAGGGCACGGACAGGCTCAGCATCCCTGCACGCCCCTGCTGATGGATTTTGGTGCATCAACGCACAAAATAAGGAGTTAGAAAGGAAGGAGGAATCCAGCAATGCTTCTTCTCCTCCATGAGTCATTTCTTGTAGAATTCTGGTGGCATTGGAGCCCCAGCTCAGCTCTCTGCTTTCAGGGAGCCCCTTCCCCTTTGGAAAACAGGATAGAAGGGTTTGGGTTGGGAGGAACCTTAAAATCCATCCCATCCCACCCAATCCCACCATCCCAGGCTGCTCCAAGCCCCCGTGTCCAACCTGGCCTTGGGCACTTCCAGGGATCCAGGAGCAGCCCCAGCTGCCCAGCCCCAGAGCCCCCTGCTCCATCCATGGGGCTTTTTGATTATTTATAGATTTTTATTGATTCCCATTCCCACTGGATTCCTTCCAACAGCTCCAAAACCTGTTGTTGAGAGAGAGGTTTTGTATCCCACGCCTCCAAAGAGAAGGAAAATAAAATTCCAGGAGAACACAGGAATCCATGAAGTGTTTGCAGGCAGGAGAAACTCCAGTTAATGCACCTTTTGTCCCAATTTCTCCCAAATTAAATTGCAGCTTTATCAATTCTAGCCAGCGTTAATGCTAATAATCCAATTAAATGCAAGGCGAGCCTAATTAAGGGAAATGAAGGATTTCACTGGCAGCATTAAGAACATTTAAAATTAGCAAGAGGAGGAAAAGCCTGAGAAAAACCAAGGGACTCAGTGTATCCCAGTGCCAGGCCCATTTCATTGCCTTAAAACACAGGAATTACCCATTTTGAAGGTGGAAAATATTCCTCAGGGGCTGGCTAACGGCTCTGGAGCCTCTTCCCCAGGTTCACAGGGAAGTTTTGTCCTGGAATCTCACTCCTGAGCATCTTCCCCTCTCAGCTGAGTTTGTCTGCACTCAAATCTTTTAACACTTCACTATCCATGGCTAAAAATGATTCAGATAAAAGAGGATTTTTCCAGGATAGCACCAGCAGCTGGACTGTGAGTTCTTCACTCTGGAGCCATGAAACTGGGACTCAGCTCCTTCCAGAAGCTCTGGTTGCTCCTCAGAACTCTGAGGAATTCAGCCTGGAGACACCTGTGGCCAGGTGAGAGAGCAAGGAAACACTGAGGAGATACTTGGGTTTAATACAGAAAGGAACATCTAAATAAAATTTTAAAAGACCCAGAATAGCACAGTTTGCAGAAGACACCGAGATTTGTTAGAGTTCCATTGGTTACATTCCCTTTTTTCCATGAGTTATGTTCCTTTTTGGGCTGCTTTAAGCACCCTGCACTCCCCATTCCCCCCAAAGCAGGGGGATCACTCCATTTCTCTTCTGTAGGGGAGAAGTGGCTCCACACTCACTTTACTAATTAAGACCCTTTAAGTGACTTCACCTTTCCAAGTGTGGAGTTCTGATTTATCACCCAATAAACAGAGCAGCCACTTCCTTTAAAAAGGCAAAATGTTTATTTTTGTAGGGAATAAAAATACCTGCAATCCAAGAGAGACTCCATGGGACAAACAGAGAGAAAAGACACAATTCTCCTCTAGACAAGATCAGCTTCAAGCAGTGCAGGAACTGAAGTTCTGCCCCACAGAGCCCTCAGGGCACAAACTGGGGCTCATTCCCCACAAATGTCCCTCCCCAGTGACACAGACAGCAACAGGGACATTCCCAGCCGGCACCACACGGGGTTTTAGGGACATTCCTACAAGGTTCAGGTCAGGGATGCCAAGGAAAATCCAGCTGGAGGATGGGATCCAGTGCTGAGTTACTCCAGTAGTTTCTGCTACATTAAATAGATGGAAATACAGAAATGATACAAAAACAGCCCCTCAGCCCTGCTCCTGCAGCTCCCAGGGTGACACATTAATTAATGTCATTAGCACACCTGCCCTAACGAATTGCCCACCTGGCTGCCTGGCCCCAAGCACAGGTTTACCATCCCCTGCTTCCTCAGCTAATTAATCACGTGCCGGGTGATAATTAAAACATGAAGAGGACATTCAGAGCAGGTTTCTCCCCCAGGGAATGCCTGGATGCGCGTGAGGGAGGGATGGAAACCCGGAATAGCTGGGAGAGGACCCTATAAAAGCAGCCCCAGAGCAGAGGAAAACACACCTGGAATTCTCCTGGGCACTCCTGGATATCCAGCACCGCCTCGTGCCAGGAAACTCCTCTGGGCTCTGGGGCTGCCCAAGGCCAGGTCTGCCAGGAGCTGAAGGAGCCTGCAACAGGAGCTCTTCCCTTTCCAAGGCTTTTCCTGGGGCTGCCTCAGCTTTGGGAGCACCTCTGAGGGCTCTCTGCTTCCAGAGGCGATGGAAGCAACAGCCCCAGGGCTCTCCACACCAACATTCCCAGCTGGAGATCCTGTGGAGCTCTGGGAACCTTCAGCTCCTGACAAATCCCACCCTGCAGGACTGGGGCAGCTTCCTGGAGCTTCCCAAAGCTTCCCAGCTCCCTCCAAGCCCAGTCAGGATGGCTCTGGATCAGAGCAGGTGGATTTTTATTCCAAGGAATTAACTTGGAAAGGCAATCACTAAGCACAGGAACAGACCAAATCAGACCTAAAAGCTTTCACAAACTGCTTTTCCTCACCCCTATGGAGACCATGGAGAACTAAAACTATGGACAACCCAATTATTCCCACTTTTTCCCTGCAGAGCAAACAGCACCAACTGGATTTTCTCTCCCACAGGTGACAAGTCCAAAAGAAAACCCCAATTTAGGAACCCACAGAACAAAGTTCACATTAAAGACTTTTCAAATGAGGCTCCACGAGACCCTCTCGGGCTTCAGAGCAGGACAGGCACCAGCCCACTACAAGGTTACACCTGGTTGTAGCACGGGAGACACTGGGAAAAGGCAGGAAGCCATGGAATGTCCTGGAGAAGCCATGGCATGTCCTGGAGAAGCCATGGAATGTCCTGGAGAAGCAGGAGCAGCTCCAGCAAAGGGGGAGTTTTACACAGGCAGAGCTCATCTGCACTAAATCAGATCCCTGCTCCCTCCCAGCTCTCCAAGTCGCAGGAATCCAAAGGGAGAGGACTGCACTGCTCCAAATAAAAGCAGAATTCTGACCTCACAAAGCAGGGGTGCTCCCCTAGGAATAAATCAGTTGCAGGAAGTTTCCCCAGCAGCAGCAGCAGCTTCTCCATTCCTTGCACACTTGCAGGGAGCAGAGAATCCGGGCAGGAATCTCCAGGAGCTGGGAACACCTTCCTGGGCAGCAGCTCCCAGCTGAGCTCAGGACAGGGCTCTGAACAGCTCCTCACCTCTGCTCTCCCACAGCCCCACACAGCTTCTCATTCACTGCCTTTCACACCATGAGCTCGTGGAGAGAGAGGAAACCCTGGAATCTTCTCCAGCTCCTAAATTCCAGCATCAGCATGAAAAGCTTTTAGTACACCACTTTGCCTGAGCCTGTACACACAAAATCCAAGAGCTTTAAAAGACATTAATTTTTGGGTTTGGTTCTGTTTTGCCACTGGAGTTAAAAGCAGCAAAATTACTCCAAGCTTACAACACTGAGTAACCTGGTGGTGGTTGTACACACTTGGAGTAACACTGGAGTTTTGTGGAGGTATCGTTTTTTAGGAATGAGGAAAGATTATTAAACTCCTCCAATGGCAATTCCAAAGGCAAAGCAACATACAAACATTTCCAGGAGCCTTCTGCAAGCTGGATTTGTACAATAATTAACCAGTGGTATCGTTAAGTCCTTCAGCAGTCAATCAAAATCCTCTGCAGTTTGGGATCTCTAATGATAATTATGAAAGATACTCAATGAACTGATGATCCACAGAATAACTGGTCCTAAAATGTGCCTGTCTTGGCTTCCTGTCCCATTTTCTCTCAGATTTGGGAGTGGATGTTGCCCATTACAGAAAGACAAGGCTGATCCATCACTCACACCTGGCTCAGTATTTCCAGGGTTTAATTTTTAATCAAGCACTCTTGTAGCTCCTTCTTGGCAACTTTGCTTAAGTCTGACAAACCCTCAGTATTAAAAAACTTCCTCTTTGCCATTCCAGGCAGTGCTCTATGCTCTCTTCTTCCCTGGATCTTTCATGTGCTTTATAAAATAGGTATTTTCTTACTCAGAACGAGCCACTCAGGGAGGTTCTGGCTGGTTTTTGGACACTGGATCTACCCAGTGATTTCACTGTGGGTTAAAAGCACACGAACACAGTTACTGCACTTTCTGGTGTTATAATGGAATGGTTCTGCTTTCACTGGAGATTGAGAAGGCTTAAACATTTTCATTTGGCTTCCAAATTTTTTATAAAACATAAAAACTGATTTGAAAACTTGATGGCAGCACCTAACTGAAAGAACAGCTTGAAAAGGGAGCAGAGCAGCATCCTGGATAAAGCTGCACAGGGAGTTTCTGTGCAATTCAGCACAGAACAAGGACAGTGGCACAGCTTTCCCGAGGGGGGTGAATCCTCCAAGCCCCCAAGGCCACACCACAATCTCAGAAATGTCCTCAGGCTTTGATAAGCAGCACCCTGAGCTTATCAGGAACACTGGCTGCTCCCAGGGCTGGAGCACAAACTCCTGCGTTTAATCCTGGAATCGGATTTTTCTCGCCTGAGTAACAACCCAAGTGGAACATTTTTGTTCTTTCAAATGAAGATATTGACCCAAATTGCAGCCAGGCTGGGAAGGGACTCAGATAAAAACAACTCTCTATAGCAGGGAAATCAAAGGGGATTTTTCCCAGGGATACACCTGGACCTGGTCCTGGTCCCTGGGGCTGTGCCAGAGCCGAAGCACTGGGAATGCTGCTCTCCTGGATTATGGAGTACTCTGGATTTGTGAGTCCAGCCTCTAAGGAGCTCCTGTTGTGCTTGTAGGAAATTCTACATAAACCCCTTGTTCAATTCCTTACCTGCTGATTCTCAAACTGCTGCTGAGTTCTGCTCCTGATCCTCCGATGCCAGGAAACCTTTAAGGCCTGAACTGCTGATAATTGCAGGGCTCAGCCTGGCAGGATGCTCCACTCTGAACCTCGTGACTCAACAGGAGAACCTCCCTCACTCCCTTTCATCCTGACCCTTTTCCAGCCCCAGCCTCCACGGTGGATGATTTTAGTTTGTTGCTTGATTTTCTATTTTAGTTTTTCTCTATGTGCTTTAACCATTTAATAAGTAACAGAGTGAACCTTGCCAATTAATTCAGTCACACTTTTTTATATCAAACCTGTTTCTTGCTGATGCCTCTCCCAAGGATTCTTTGGGTGACCTTCAAGCACTCATTTGTGACACCCAACCCCTGGGGAGAGAAGTCCTCATTTCTTCTGATTCTTCCTAAGTTCACTACCATGAGAGATACTGCTCATGAGACACACAAAACATCCCTAAAGTTCCTGGAACTTGAACATTCCCAAGAACCAGCAAGTGATTTCATCATTTTAGGCCCCATTTCAATAGCAGAACATAGCCCATCTGTTATCCATCTGTAATTGCTGCCTCATCAATGATTCCACCTTGGAACTCTCGTCAGAGTTAACTCACTTCAATTTAACCAAGATCATAAAATAAGAGAGAAAAATTCCACATAAATGTTCTCCTGTGTTTCCTCATTTCCAATCCTCCCTCCTGTCACAAATCCATGTGTTACAGGCTGGCTCTGGGCCTTGCTGCACTGCCATCAACAAAGGAGGTGCAGAAAAGCTGATTCCTCAAGAGCTCAGCTTGGAAAGAAGCTGCTGAACTCAGGGGAACAGCAAAAAACCCTGGAGAAGCTGCAGCAGAAGAAAACCTCCTGACAAACACTGAGCACAGACAGGACCCAACACCACACTGCAAACTCCAACACAAAACCAGCAATGGCCTGGCTGGACACGGACACAGTCTCAGAGAAGGCACGGGGGGTTTGGTTCTGTGTAACAAATATGCATAGGAAACAAAACATGAATCACTTCTGCTACAAGGCAAGGGTCCATGCAGAGATTCATTCACAGCTAAGAAAGGTTGGGGGGTTTTTTATCATTTGAAGACGGACTGAAATTCTTTCTTGGTCTAAGATGACCTTGGACCACCACTGAGAACAGAGGGATTTGCATCCTTCCTCCTGCAGTTACTGCCCAGCTCCTCATGGAATTGGCATGATTTCTTCCAGCCTCAAACAGCAGTGCTGGCAGGCAGCCCTGACCCTCAGAAATGCACGTGTTCCCACTGAAAGCCAAGCTCCCAGGAATGCCAGGCAGGCTCCTGGCAGCTCTGCATCACCTGAGCTGCAGGAGGTGTCCCCCAGCAGCTGCTCCCCCAGCCCTGCACACCCCTACTCACACTCAGCTGCAAATGGGGGCTGCAGCAGCTCCCCAGAGCTTCTCCCAGCAGCTCCCACAGCTCATCCCTGGTGCTGAGCCTGCCCATCCTCCCGGGAGGCTCCGAGATCCTGGGGCTGGGCTGGGCTCTCCTTGTGTTTCTGCTGCCCCAGGGAGGGGCCATTGCTCAGCACAGGGGCTGCTCCCCCTGCACAGTCCTGGGGAGGAGTTGGGGCTTTGGCAGCAGCAGCTCCTGCCTCGGGTGAGGTGCAGCCTTTGCTGGGCAAGGGGCCATCGAGGATAGGGAGTTTCTGCACAAAGAAAAAGGCATAAAAACAAATAATTAATACCTAGATGCCAGAGAGGGCAAAAAATCAGGTGTCAACACAACAGCCCTGTGGCAGTGCCTCTTTTCCAGCTCTGAAATTCAGCACTGAAGTAGCTGGACACAGATCCTCAAATGTCTGACACAAACACCAGAAATACCTGGACACAGATCCTCAAATGTCTGACACAAACACCAGAAATACCTGGACACAGATCCTCAAATGTCTGACACAAACATCAGAAATACCTGGACACAGATCCTGCCATTTCTGACACAAACATCAGAAATACCTGGACACAGATCCTCAAATGTCAGATACAAACATCAGAAATACCTGGACACAGATCCTCAAATGTCAGATACAAACATCAGAAATACCTGGAGACAAATCCTCAAGTGCCTGACACAAACATCAGTGTTTCATAATGAAAGCTGGACTTTTCAGCACTCACCTTACCCCAGCAAAGGACACTGATATTCTTCTCACTGGTGTATTTTAAAAACTCTATTTCAATTTGTTTGGAGGTGTTTTGGGGGTTTCTAACACACACAGCTTTGTCACTGAACCCCTCATTTTGACCCAGCTGTTTGGAACAACCCTTCAATGCTGATATTTAATCCCATTTAACCCTTCCAACCCCTCCAGGGCATGTGAAGCCCATTGTGCCTCACGTTTTCCAGCTGGGATGCGCTGTCCTCCAGTGTCACCTTCTGGCTGATGCAGCTCAGCAGCTGATCCAGCACACACTGCTTGGGGTGCATGCCCTTGTCAAAGCGGTTGTACATCCCACACCAGAACCTCAAAACCAGGCAAAAAAATGGCAATTAGGGGCTCAGCTGGACCTTACTGCCAACTAATAGATGTTGCTTAATGTTTTTAATAAATTGAGATTAGGAATTCATTTTAAAACCTGACACAGCTTTGGATGATTAAATTCGGTAGCAATGGGCAACTTTTCTTCTGGCAGCAAATATTAGAATAGGATGAAAATACTTTTTTTTTTTAATAGCAGATTTATTGGAAGCTTGGGCAGTTTATCTTCCACTCCTTGGTTTGCCCAACCTCCCAACTTTCATTTGCACACACAGCACTTAAAATCCCATTTTCATCCCCTTCTCTCTCAGCAAGGCCCAGGAGTGAGGCAGAAGCAAAGCCTGGGAAAAACTCTGAACTGGGCACCAAAGTTCCTGCTTGAAAGACTTCCTTAATATACATTAAAAAGGAGGAAAAGAGGAACTTTTTGAAACACTTCAATGTGACAGAGCCAACAGTCAGGGGGTGTATGTGGTTCTTCTGTCTGAAGTTCTGCTTTTCCTTGCCCTTCCCCACCCTCTTTTCTCAACACCAAATTAAAAATGTTATTTTTAATCACAACATCTGGATTTATTTCATCCTTGCACTGCTCCTTTTAGTTTATGCCTGAGGAATGGAGGGGAAAGGTAAAACAAACCAAGCTAATCACTGCAAATTTATTTGATTTAACCTGAGTTACCAGTGAAAGAAATGTCCTCCTCCTTCCCCTTCTTAACTGAGACACTTACTGGAAACTGAAAGGTAGAGTGTTTGGTTGAAGCTCTTTGTAAGCTGTAAACCCTCTGTACAAAGGATTTCTCAACTCCTGCTTCCTCTGTAAGAGGAAAGGCCACAGGGAATGGGTCTTCTCAAAGATTCTGGCAAGTACAAAGAACATCTGATTACCAAAAAAAAGCAGCAAGTGGATTAATAACTGCAGCTGTTGGAAGTAGAATTAGATTAAGGGAGATATGAATTGTTTTTATGCTGGATCTGATTGATTTCATAAGCACAGGATATTAAATTAGACACTCTCCTAACCAGAAGGGATATCTGCAAGTTATTATTGTGCTCCAAACTAAAACATCTTTTTTTTGGGGGGATGTAATTCATATTCTTTTCTCCCTCTGGCTAAGGGCAACATTGTCTTGATAAATGGTTACGTTCCACCATCTCCAATTCCATAAAACACACCCATCCCACACGCTTTTCAGACATCCCAGGGGATCTGTGGCCTGCTGGCTCCAGGAACCCTCAGCTCACCTGAGCTCCTCCCTCTCCTTGTGGCAGGTGCCCAGGAAGTTGCCAAACTGGCAGGAATAAACGTGGTCGTGGATCTCCAGCAGGAAGCGCTCGCTGAACTCGAAGGAGCAGGGGAACTGCTGCATCAGCTGCCACACACACTCCACAAACTGAGTGAACACAGGGGACACCTCTTTGGGGTCCCCATCCAGGTGGCCACACCTAGAGAGGTGCAAAAAGCAGAATAAACCCTCTGTCACCCATCACAAAATGTCCCTTTGCCATCAGCTTCCTTCCCGGTCAAGTTTGTGCTTTGAACTCGGGCAAGTCCTGAGGAAGTGGCTGAGATCCTCTCCAGGAGAGGCTGCAGGAGAACCAGCAGGGTTGGCTGGAGCACTATGGATGGGACAGACTGCCCAGAGAATGGGGTCAGCATCCCTGGAATTGTTCAAGAGATGTGTGGATGTGGCACTTGGGGACATGGGTTAGGGCTGCTGATGGGTGATGGATGGACTCTGTGATCTTGGAAGTCTTTTCCAACCTTCATGTTTCTGTGATTTCCATGACTAACACTCCTCAAATAATAGAATTTTGCAGGTAGAATTCAAACCATGATTTTTTTAAAGCAATAAAAACACAGCAATGAAATAACAGCCCCTGGTTCTATGTCACGAATGCCAATGTTTTCCCAATGTTTTCTCCTTTTCATTTCAATTTTTCATGGGATCCCCTAAACCTGCAGACAGTTTTGGTTTCACTCCCCCCAGGGGAATGTGCCCCTCTCACCTGTGTGAGAACTTGTGGCCCATTGCAATCCACTCCTTTTCTATCAGGACCTGCAGGTTCATTAAGAAAAGAGAATTAATTTGGTTAAAAAAGCAAAATGAAGCCTTTGATGTTAAAGCCTAAAAACCTGACAACCTGCTGACCCTACTGCTATAAATATATCCCCAGAAAACAATGGGAACAGGAATTGTGATCTATAGATTATCCAGTTACCAAGGCAATGGCCCTGCTGGAATCAGAACTCATTTCAAAACTATCATTTTGAGGGAGTTTCTAAGTTGTTAAAATAATTTTATATTTATATATATATATATTGAGCTCAAAGAATTATCAATTTAATATTGCACTGTGCTATTTAATTTGGAAAAGAGTGCTGTGATATTCAGCAAAATAAATCAGCAACTGGAGTTTAACAAATGTTTAACAGATGAAGTACAGCTGCATAATGAGGAGTTCAGGATGAAATCAGAACTATGTGGCACTTTTTAAATAGATGCCTGCAGTTACAGAGAATAATAACTGTTATGATCTGTTTTCCTTACAGATAAATAAGATAAAATAATCTGTTTTCCTTACAGATGTCTCACAAGGAACCACATGGCTGAAGCTCCATCTATCATTACTTTTACATCATTACTGGATCATATCTAAAGATAATTCCTGTTATCATCACCCAGATTAAGATAAGGAAAGCAGGAACTCACAAGAGAGTTCTTAGAAAACTTCATTTAAATTGTTTTTTGAATTTTCCCATTCTTTGCACTGCTGATGAATTCCTTTAGGAATAACCCCTAGTCAGAGGGGTTGTGCCTACAAACCACGGGGACAGGCAGGGATGTGTCTGTGTCACTGCTCCTCCTCCTAAGCTAAATCCTGTTCTCAGTTCAGGCAGGATTGCTCAGAGACAAAGCCCAGGCAGATGTTTCATGTGCTGGTGGAATTTTAACTGTTAAAAGACTGCAGTCTGATCCAGAAACAAAAATAGAAACAATAAAACCAGCGTGGAATGCAAAGAAACAGTCCTGGCACTGGAAAAGGCAAAATCTGCATTGTTCTGATTTCAGGGATTCCTTCAGGGAGCTCTCCTGAGACAGAACAGCTCTTCAGGTATTTAACAAGAGGTGAATGGAAAGAAACATCACAGAGTGCCCTGAATTCATGCAGGGATGGCTGCAAATTAAGAAAAAAGCCTGCACTAGAAGCAAAAAGCCAAATTGAAATGAAATGGCTTTAAAAAAATGATGCAGATTTGACTGATGGACAGGGGACAGGGCTGAGTTCACCCAATTTCAAATCCCAGCAGATGAGAGACCTGCAGGACAAACTCCTCCAGCACTTTTGGATTGCTGCCAGAGCTGCATCCTTTGCTGAGATCCCTCATTAGTGGCTCCCATGTTGACCTTGCAGGAAACAAGGATTTGGGAATTGTCAGCCGATTGCTCGCAGCAATTCCAGCTGGTTACAGAACCAAAGCTGCTCTATGTAGGTCACCTACACCTGTCCCAGGAAATGGCCTGAGCCCTTCCCCAGGGCCTGCTGGCACTGGGATTGCAGCGTGTCCTTACCATGAAGCCTTTGAAGGTCCTGTAGAAGGGGTCCAGGAGAAGGCTGGCCAGGGAGCAGACCTGGGCCGTGCGGTCCCAGCCGTCGGAGCAGTGCACCAGCACGCTGGCCCTCTCCTCCCTCACAGCCTGCCAGGGACACAGCAAGAGCTCAGGGAAATGCTGTCCCTCACCTGCACCACCCCAAACCCCTGGGGAATGCTGCTCATCTCTCCCCTGGCCTGTGGAAATGCACCAGTCCATCAAGAGAAGGTCCAGCTACAGCTGGTACAAACCAGCCCCTGCAATCTCTGGAAGGCCAAGGATTCCCAGGCTCTTCCTCTGAGGAAAAAATTTGGTGGATGAGTAAAAAATAATTGGACACCAAGGGATTAGAACTCCAAGATAAATTAGAAGAGTTGATGCCAACTTCCCCCCATCCCATCACCTTTTTCCACTCAGGACAGGAGAGAAACACCAGAGTTTCTTGCTTGTGAGGTGGGGAAATTGCGACGGACAACCAACGTTTACAACTCGCTCCTCTCACCACACACTTCCTGCACACCCTTTACCACTCCTGAGTGATTTCCTTCCTCCTGCCTGACCTGCAAAGCCACCAGCTCTGCAGAAATGAGGACTGTGTTGAATAATTTAAAATTATTCATCATTACATCACATCGAATCAGGAGAAAAGAAACCGGTCAAAACAATCCCTCGATTAAAGCAGAGCAGTGGATGAATAACGAGCACAGAGTTGTTTGCACTGCTATAAAGAAAGGTTTATAAAGGTCATTTATTCACATTTTGTGATCTTATGTTTCAAATGAGCTCTAATAAAGCCCTGTTACAATACAGAACACAGGAGCTGTACTTGCCCAGCATCACCCAACATTTTTGGAGAGATTAAGCCAACCTGAACAACACCTTCTCCCCAGAGCCACCTTCCCAACCTTGCAGTGTCCCCAGCACACCAGGAGGCATTTTGGAATGCAGCTGCAGCTGGAGAGCAGCTTTACCTTGGCCAGGAAGACACCTGCATCCATCACAGCCTTGATGTGCCGCAGCCAGCCCGAGTTCTCCAGCCCCGTCAGGAAATCGCTCATGGAGGGGGACTTCATCTCACACACTGGGAGCAGACACAGAGAATCAGAACAGCAGCCCTTGCACCTCCTCATTACCTCTCCAAAAATCTTTAAATGCTTGCAGCATTATCCTGTCCAAAGGACACACTAATGGTTGTGTATCTAAAATTCATAACTAAAAAACCGCTGGTTTTGTGAGGATTTGAGGCTCTGGAAATCTCCTCCTGCTCTTTGCTTAAAGGGTAACTCATTATTTATTCAGCTGTGTTTTTTCCAGCAGTGAGCTGTTACTCCACTCTAAATCACCATCACATCTACAACCACTCACTCACTTCCCAAAGATTTGATTTCTCTCTAATTTAGAGACAGAAATAACAAGTCTAACCTTGAAGGCAACTCAGCTGCTCTAATGAAACCCAGCACAGAAAATACTCAGAGTAATCAACTTCAGAACAGTCCATGAGCCCCAGTGAATGAGATTTGATCACTGTTGGAGATGAACACAGGAGAAAACAAGTTTTTATTCTGCCTCTTCTCCCACCACAATATAATTCTGCCAGGAAGAGGCAGCTGAGGACTCAGGGTTGTGATCAGGACGCTCTGCTGGGTGGGAACAGCCCCATTTTTGTCCAAGGTCAGTATGGATCCTGCAGGGCCACCTGGGACCATCAATTACCCAACTATTAAAAAAAAAAAGATGAGCATTATGGTGGTTACTAAAACAATAAACTCCTATTTTGGATGACAGCACCTGAATTGCAAAATTCTCCAAAATTTTATTGGTGAAACTCTGGGCCTCATTACCCTCTTAATCCCCAATACTCAGGTGATTCTTTTACCCTGTTTTGCATTCTTTCCTATGATCACAATGAGCTTAATTACTCTGCATTCTCAGATAATTATGGATTAAAACATTAATTTAAGAAGTTTGGTTAAAAGGAATCAGAAATGAAAAGTTAGAACAAAGTATGTATGAGACTCAAGTCTTTGGAAGATCATGCCAAAATCGTATTTCAACTCAGAAATATTGTTAATATTCCAAATATAGCAAACCCCAAAAAGCACTTCTGAAAAATCTCTGTTGTTTTTCTTTCAATAAGCCATGAAGCAACCATGAGACTGTCTTAGCTGTAAAATGTAATATTTCTTCTTCTATTAACACAGCACATTCACAAAGGTATGTTTTTAGTATTAGTTGCTAATTTTGAACCACTATAAAACCAAGCACAAGAACAAAGAAAATGTCAAGCAGGAAAGCATTTTAACAGCATTAATGCTTTCAGCCACTTGAATGCAGCAAACAAAGCAAGATGCTGACTTTGCTTGCATCAGAACACGTTTGTGCATGGAACATCTGGATATTCAGCAGGAAGTTCTGTCCAGGGGGGTAAGAAAGACAAGGCTGTACCCACCTTCCAGCAGTTTCTGCAGGCTGCTCCTCATCACATGGATGTTCTCGATGCCAATGAATTTAAAACGAATGTTTTCATAATTATCTTCATTCTCATAGCCCTTCCCAGCAGCTCTGTTGGCCATGGCATTCAGCTGGCAAATTCAAGGGGCAGAAAAGAAAGAGAAAATCATGACCAAATTCAGAGAGGCTGTTTTGCAAGTCCTTTTTGTTTGGTTGGTTTTTTGGTTTTTGTTTAAATCTCCCAGAAAATGTACTGGACAAAGCTGTTACTCAGTACTTCCCCACCTCCCAGACAGTTCTTCCAGCTGTTTCATTACAATTACTGCAGTTCATTAGTCAGAGGCTCATTAAAGCCCTGCTTAGGGTAGTGTAATCTCCCAGTTGCTGCTGTCAGAGACACCAAACCTGCCCTAACTGTGAGTTTACCTAAGGAAATTCAGACAGGCACAGGAAAGCAGAACTAGAAAAGCAATTTTTAACATTTTTTACATACATGGTGGTATAGAAATAGTAAGGGAATTCCCAATTTTCATGGACATACAAGCACCTGAGGGAAATAAACCAAATTCAAGTTGAGCAGAAAGAACAGAGCAACTGCAGGAGAGAAGTAGAAAAGAAGCCACTTGCTCTTAAAATCCCCCAAGCCAGTTCAAGAGCTATCAGGATATCTTTGCTGGGGACACAAAACAGAGCAGCTCAGCCCCCCCTTATCAATTTGGGCAGCTTTTGGGAGAGGAAAGAAGAGTCAAATACGGTGGAGACACCTTTAGAACCATAAAATAACCCCAGTGCTTCAGTTCTGCCACAGTGGCACAGGTTGGCTTAGAAGAAAAAGTGTCAGCAATTATAAATTCTCCCCTTATCACCAAATGCTTTAGCACAAATTGACACCAGTGATGGATTTCAGTGGCACATCTCTGCTGTCTGTACCAAAAGAAATGCACATGCCATTGCAGAACAGGGGATCTCTAGGAAATGTCACACTAAAAGCCAAAATACACACTGGAGCAAGATGTGAAATGCTCCCTCTTTTCCCCAAAATTACTTTTTCTTTATGGCACTCACCATAGTTTAACTAAACTTGTAGTTTATATAAAATAACTGCAAGATCTGAATGGTGAAGCAGGTTCTCAGAAAGCTCCATTTTCAAATAATCAGAGCAATTAAAATCTTTGCATTTAAATAATTGTGTGCTATGAAACCCCTCACGTTCTAATTGCCTTCTACCAACACTCCTAATCCATATGTTTACAAGAGAATAATTGGAATTGGTTTCTAAACTCAGTTCCTCAAGATGACAGTCATTAAAATTTTCATTTTGCAAATATTTCCTCTCAAATAAACCCTCAGCTCTCAAGTTCCAGCCCCAAATACTGGTGCTGAGCTGTATTAAGCTCCATCATGAGTGTTATTTTTAAAAGCAAAAAAAAAAAAAAAAAAAAAAAAGGGAGGGATTGCTTTCAGAGCTGCACTTCCTCCCAGATCTGCCAGTAAAAGCACTTCAGCCTCGTGGAACTGAATCCTGAGGGTTCTCTCCAGCTCCACTTGCAGTTCTCTCTCCTTTATCCTTTAGGACTCTGCAGGAAAATGCTTCTCTGTCCCAGGCAGGTCATCCTGAACACAAACCTCAAACCCAGGATACCCCAGGAGGACAAATCCTGGGGCTCACTCCACATTCCCGTTGTACACCCTGAACCAGGAGCCCGATCCCACATTCCTGCTGCAGGACCCACCCAGAACAAACTGGAAACAGCACTGCTCATTCAGACAAGAGATTTAAAAGCAGCCCAGAGCCCATGGAGGTACCTTTGGCCTCGTGTCTACAACATACATGAAGGGGCAGCCGGGGTTGGCCTCTCGGATGGCCTGGAGCATCTGCTCGTCCTCCAGGCAGCGCGCGCTGAACCCGGCCAGGGGCTGGCTGCAGCGGCACAGGGCAGCCTGCAACACAAACACAGAGTCAGCCCCGCTGCACTGCCCCTCCTCCTGCCCCAAAGCCCTCTGGGCTCGCAGCTGCAGCCTCTCCTGCTGCCCCAAAGCCCTGGCAGTCACAGATGAAGCACCCTCTGTGCTCCTGCTGAAGGGCTGCGGCCACGGTGGACGCGCACTGCGCCACTCGCCAAGCGGCAACTTCGGGAAATTTGGGAATGAGGAGGCTCTCGCCAACCTGCTCTGCCTGATGGTCACCACCCCAAATGACAGCAGTTCATGGGATCCCAGAATGGCTGGCTGGAAAGGACCTTCAAAACATCTCACTCCACTCCCTGCCATGGCAGGGACACCTTGCACTATCCCTGGGTGCTCCAGGGATTGGGACACCTCCAGGGATCCAGGGGAAGCCACAGCTCCGCTGTGCCAGGGCCTCCCCACCCTCCCAGGAAACAATTCCTTCCAATATCCCATCTGACCCTGCCCTCTGGCAATTTAAAACCATTCCCACTTACCCTGTCACTATGTTCCCATAGAAAAGTCCCTCTCCCTCCTTCCCATGAGCCCCCTGAAGGTACTGGAAGGCAGCAATTTCTCATGTTTTCCATTTGGTTTCTATTTCCAAACCATTATTTTGAGTTTTTTCCTTATCAGCCGTTGCTGTTGCACATTCAGAGCAGCACTGGGTGTATTTTAAGGAAATTTCATTAGTTTCCAGCACAACTCCAGGCAGTGCCCAGGTCAAGGCACACTTCCTCAGGAAAACAACAATTTGGCTGTGACTGAATTTTCCTAACATCAGCATCTAAAACATTGCTGAGGCAGCAAATTACAAATTTACATTTTGGTCCTCAGTGGAAAAAAAAATAAAATGAAACCTTCACTTATTCTGAAGCAGTGGGGATTTATTTCAGGGTGGTTCCTCCTCTTCAACACTAAGAAAATCCATCCAAATTAACATATAACTTGATAAAACATTATTCAATATAACTAAAGAGGAGATTAAAAAACCCCACATCAGAAGGAATTGCTGAAAGCTGATTAAGAAAAAATTCCCAACAGGAAGCTTGGAAAGTCTGTGCTTTTGGCAGAGCTCTGGGTGCATTCCAAGCATTTGCCTTTAGCTCGTTCTGTAACTCAGAACGAAAGCCATTAAGAGAAGCACAGCTCTCAAAGGCCTCAAATCTAATAATTATCTTATTCTTTCCTTTCATTAGAAGGGAACTGGACAAAAAGGAGAACCCTCATTCCCCCCAGGGCAGCAGGCAGTGAAGCACTGACATTGTTTTCCTTGTATAAGTAAGAAAGCACCGGAATCCGCCCTCGGCTCCTGAACCTTGAACTTCCCATCACCACGGCCTTGGTGGCAGCTCGAGGCACCACGATCTCAGGAGGGTATGTGCTGCAAACCTGAGGGAAAACAGAGAAAAAAAAACCCAGACATTGCTCCTGAGCACTTCAAAATTCATAAAAAATTCATCTTTAGCTTATTAGGTTGCAAAGTATTCAGGAAAACAATGTAGGAAACAATCAACTCTGCAGCTGAGCCTCAAAACTGGACTGCACCATGCAGACTCAAAGGAAGCTCTTTAAATCCAGAAATTTGATGGAAGTTTCTAATTTAGATTCACAGAATGGTTTGGGTTGGAAGGGACACTAAAGCCATCCCACCCCAGCCACGGCAGGGACACCTCCCACTGTCCCAGGCTGCTCCAAGCCCTGTCCAACCTGGCCTGGGACACTTCCAGGGATCCAGGGACAGCCACAGCTGCTCTGGGCACCTGTGCCAGGGCCTGCCCACCCTGCCAGGAAACAATTCCTTCTCACAAAAGGAGAAATTAAGAACAACTGTATTTAAAAAAATGTTTTGCAACTTGAAAGGCACTTCCAGCACTCAGGTGGAATCCTCAGAGGGCAGTTTCACCCTCTCCCCTCAAACAAACACAGTCTTTGCAGCATGGAGTTCCCAGACAAGCTGCTCTCCAAGCCTGGCTTTACATCAGGCTTGACAATTCTAAACCACAGGCTGGAAACTGTGAGGAAACCATAAAACACCTGAGAGCTGCACAGCAGCAAGCAAAGCCTCAGAGTGATGAATGATTTGAGATGGCCACATCCAGCTGCCCTCAGCAGCTACTGGGAACAGCACCTCTCACATCAGAGCTCAATTCAGGCCTCCAGGCAGGTCAAAAAGAGGCAGTGTCCTCTGACAGCACAGGCTTGGATTTCTTCAAGTCAGAGCTTAAAGTACAGAAAGTTACCAGGGAAAGGGATTCAGGGTTATAAATATGTTGGTGTCTTCCTTGGAGTTGCTTGCTTTGCTTTTCAACAGCCAGGTCTGACTGCACACAGCCCCAGAGGAAATAAAAAGGGAAATAATGTGAAGCAGGATTTCGAACAAGCTTGCTGACAAATGCCTTTGTTTCATGTTGTTTAGATCCAAGTTGGCCTTTCAGGGAAATAACAGCAGCAGGCAGTTCAGACTGAAATGACAGAGGGCCCTTAGATAGCAGAAGATCCAACTGAGAAAGCAAAAAAAAGGTCTGTTTTCCACTGCTGTTTTTCCCTTCCTTCCTTCCCTAGTCCCTCCCCACTCTGCCTCATTCCCCACCAATCCAAACTGCTGCCATTTCCTTCTCTCCTCCACATCTGTCACCAGCCAGGTGGGACAGGCTTTGGAAATACCAAAAGCAGCTCAGGGTACTTGAGGCTTTGCCTAACAGATGGGTTGACATTTCTGCAGAAAAACAAGGCTCTGCTCCCTTGCCAGGGGGATCAAACACAGCAAGGTGACTCTGCAGCTCTCCTGGAGCATCATTATCTGCAACTCCCCATCGAGATGATGTGCTCTGACCCACACCAAACGAGCTCCTTCCTCCCCAGAGGCAGCAGCAGGGCTGTCATTAATAACAACAAGGAGATAGTGCATGAGATGGCTCCTTTGGGCAGGAATTACCTCATAGTCCTTATTAATATCTGTTATTTCCCAGGAGTCGTTGGGAATTCCCATGCGCTGGTAATCCAGTCTCAAATCAATCAGTTTCCATCCCATTTCCCGGTTCTCTTTGGACATTTTAGGATTGTAAGAGAAAGCATAAAGTTCTTCAGGTTTCACTGGGAAGAAGAAAGGAAAAAAAACAACATGAGATGCAAAGACATCCAGGGAGGCCAAAACTTCTGGAAATCAATGACTGAGTGCTACTGAGGAGTATTCAAAGTATTTAAGACTTCTCAACCTTTTATAGATTTTTGGCTGGGACATTACCAAGTGCTGAAATTCATCCTGAAAGCCTCAGGAATTTCCAATAATCAGTTCCCACATGCAGGGAGATACATTAATCCTAACAAGGTGTTTTAGCCCAAGTTGGAAGAAGTAATTTCTCCTGAACAAATGATTTCCTCCTGAATTTGCTGTAGTAAGCATGTTAGATGGGATTTATATCCCAATCATTAACCCACACAAGAAAACATGGATTAAAAGATCAGTTTTCTGTGGAGAGTTCATACAACAGCTCCTGCACACCTGTAAGGTCATTGCTCAACAACAAATTCTGAGACTGGAAAACCTGAGGGATGTCTGGAATATTGCTGTCAGCCCAACAAAGGCTTCAGGCTGGCTCTGACAAGTGCACATTTATCGTCCCAACCTCCTTCCCTCTCTTCACAAAATGCAAATCCAACCAACAACTCATCCAGCTGATTCCCAAGGCAGCTCCAGAGACAGAGGGAAAGCTCTCAGAGGCTGATAAAGCAGGTAACCCAGAGCTGTCCATCACACATGTGCAAATCATCAGTAAAGATGTGCTCTGCCAAAAATCCATGAAGGGAGCACACTCAGACATCTTAAAACAAATCATCTTAAAACATCAAAGCATCTTAAAACAAAAATGTGCTGTTACAATCCAGAAGTAGAAGAAAGCTACAGCATTGACACAGCTGAGGCCAAAGTAAGCCCCTGCAGTGACACTTCCCACGCTTCAGGCACTACCCAAACTTCTAATTTTCAAACCTCAAAGAGCAGTGACAGCTTTTAAATGCAACACCACAAACCTGCCAGCAACAGCACCACAGGCAGAACTTCAGAGCTAAGAAAACCCCAAAAAGTCCAGGGGTGCTGGGAATAGACACAGCCTTAATACCAATTTTTAGAAAATCTAAACTCAGCTAAGCCCGTTTCTCCTACAGGATTTCCAGCCCAGCAAGAAGCTGCCTGGTGCCATTAATTCCCCTCCCTCAGCCTGGTGACACCATCACAAATTGCAACTACAAAAGACATCCTTGTAACAACACAACTCCAAATACTGGTTCCAGCACCCCAAAAGCAGAGGCTGCCAGAGGCAGAAGCCAGGTAGGAGCTCAGTGGAATGCTGTCCTGCAAGAAAAGCCTGAAGATTCATCCATGCTGGAATAAAAAGCTGGAGCTAGAAGAGAGCACAGGCTTTTGAGGGTGTCTGGCTCACACTCTAAGAGTGACTCCAAGACAGGGTGAAGCACAGGCTTTCACAAGTGAGCAAACACTGCAGAGCAGCCTAACCACGCTGCTGGAAACACAGCAAAAATGCCAATTTGTGGGATTTGGGAATTCTGTGAATGCCTGCATCAGCTGGAAAGGGCAGAACTGCACACAGCCAATAGCTGGGTGACACAAGGGAGTGACAGTGGCCAGGTTTGGGATATGAACTTTGCACAGCTCTCCACAAGCTCCTCATGGGATACCACGTCACCCCCACTGCCAGAGCCACTGAATCACAGAGAGGTTTGGGTTGCAACAGCTCATCCAGTGTCCCCCCAGGACATCTCCCACTGTCCCAGCTGCTCCCAGTCCCATCCAGCCTGGCCTTGGAACTTCCAGGGACCCAGGGACAGCCACAGCTCCTCTGGGCACCCTGTGCCAGGGCCTGCCCACCCTCCCAGCCAGGAATTCCTTCCTTCATTCCCAATATCCCATCCATGCCTGCCCTCTCAGTGTGAATCCATCCCCTCTTGTCCTGTCACTCCAGGCTCCTGTAAATAATCTCTCTCCATCTTTCTTGTTGGCTCCCAAGACTGTTCAGTTTGGAAGATGTGATCTGATCTCCTCAGAGCTCAGCTCCCTGAGCCCTGCCAACATCCCTGCTGGAAGCTGATTCTGATCCCACTCCTCCCCACCAAACCCAACCGTGGGGCAGCAGAGCTTTCCCAGGGCTCATCTTGGAGCATTCCAGAGATTCCCAGGACAGATTCCCAAGCCCAGTACCTGGCTGGGAGAGTTTGAGCAGGGAGGTGAACACGTCTTGGCAGTCCCTCTCCTGCCCAATCACAAAGTGAGCCACGTGGAAGTTCTTGCAGTGGATGAGCAGGGGGTACCCAGCCGTGGTCAGGGGCAGCTTCTCCACGCTGGAGATGTGGTGGTGCAGGATCTGGAGAAAAGGGAATAAACATCATTTGTCACTGATAAAGCTGGGAACAGTGCAAGCAGATGGGAAACCTTTGTGACAATCAAGCTGTTGATGCTTCCTGCAGCTAAGGAGCGGCAGAAAATGAGTTTATTTGTGATATTAATCAAACAAACTGCACCCAAAAGCCAGGGAACTAAAGCAGGATTGAAAACACAGAGGTATATAAATTACTTTCAGAGGCAGATGTGCAGTTCAGTTTTCCTGGTGCACTTGGCTCTCCTTTCACCTCCATAAGAAATACATTCTGTCATTCCCACTTCACCTTAGAATTAACAAAATCGGCTCATTTCACTGCTAGTTCCGCACCGCTAAAAGCTGCAAATTCATGTTTAGCAGTCTTGTATATCGAGTTTGAAACAGGAAATTACACAAGTGTTTCTACATTCCTTGAACTGACACGAATTCCATGAGTGAACTCCATCGAGCCATGTCACCATTGTGCTCACTTCCTTCCGAACCAGCTGTTTCTGGCAAGCATTTGGTATCAAAATGCTCTGGAAGACCACTACAGCTCTGGAATTCCCACACCTGTTCATTCTGAAAATGACAGCATAAAGTTCCAGGACAAGGGGGAATGGCTTCCCAGTGCCAGAGGGCAGGGCTGGATGGGATATTGGGACGGAACTTCTGGCTGTGAGGGTGGGAAGGCCCTGGCACAGGTGCCCAGAGAAGCTGTGGCTGCCCCTGGATCCCTGGAAGTGTCCAAGGCCACGTTGGAGCAGCTTGGAATAGTGGGAGACATCCCTGCCCATGGCAGGGGGGGAATGGGATGATCCTTCAAGTTTCTCCCCATCTAATCCATTCTGGGACCTGAAGCAGCTTTTCCAGGTGTGTTTCCAGCCCACCATACCCATGTTTCCTTCCTGACTTCAGCAGAGGCCTCCACGTAGATCAGGTGTGTGGCTGTCAGGTACAAGGTCCCGCTCGCTGCCTTCCTGTTGGCGTAGCGATCCAGCAACTTCACGTTTTCCACCTGCAGCAGGAACACGGCGTGAAAACACCACAGAATCCCAGCATTGTGAGGTTGGAAAAGCCTCAGGATCATCCAGCCTGTGCCCAATTCCCACCTGGTCACCCAGCTCATGGCCACTTGTTCCTCGGACAGGATGGGGACTCCAAACCTCCCCGGCAGCCCCTTCCAGGACCTGACCACCCTTCCCATGGAGAAATTCCTCCAAGTCCAGCTTTGATGGAAGAACTACCTAAGCACCAGCTGAACTCCACTCTTTCAACTTCTAATACACAGCTCATGAAGCTAGACAGAAAAGACAAGAATTTAAGTCCCCCCTGCAACACCAAGTCAGCCTGACACCATGAACTCAAATTATTTCTCTGTGAATTAAAGCCATAAAGGTTAAGCAAACAGCCGAGGTTCAGCACCAGCAAATCCTAACAGGATTACTGGATTTGTAGCCAAGATGATCCCAGTTTGTTACCGTGTGAGGCTGAAGAAATAACAAAGCAAAGACCTGCAAGGGAAAGATTTGTCTGTGCTCAGGGTGATCAACATGTTGCTCTATAAGGAACAGCCCCCTCCAGTCCGACTTCCCACTGCTCACTCCCTGTTAGGAGCTACTTCTTGTAACTCACTTCCTGGCCTCCAAGAGCATTTCATAAACCACACCAGGCTAATTAATAAAAAACAGCTTTAAAGAACATCAGCGCAGACATAATAAAATATGTTACAGCGCTGGACTGATTTTCTCCTGGCCTATTTGCTGCCTAATGAATGCAGATGGAATTTTTCTTTCACCATTAAGCAGAAATAATAGGAAAAAATAATTGGATAGACAATGAAAACAAATGTTTTAGCAGGAAATAATAGATTAGTTCTGGGTATTGAATGTGTGAGCTTCCTTACGTCTCGAGTACATCTCAGCAAACGAATTGGAGAGCTGAGGCCTGGGCTCAGTGTCCTCTTAGCAGGTCGTGTTTTTCAGCAGATATAACTATTAAATACAATATTGTCCTTTTCAGGGCACTACAGACATGCAGGACCAGCAGAGCACCTCAGAGCAGTAAGGAGCATCCCCAAACTAACGTCCTACAGAATAATAAAACGAAAAACAATAACCTTCATGGCAGCGAAGGATAAAATTACACTATCAACTGCTGCCTGAATAAGTACAATTCCTTTTAGTACAGCATTCCCGGAGCTCCTGTTTGACTTAATTCAATAGGGGGGCGGGGAGGGGGGGAAGGAAAAAGCACCCTTTGGTTCACTCATTGGGGCTGAGAAGAATCTCCGCGCTTTGACAGAAAGGAAATAATTCCGGAATCGCCCCCAAACCACCCCGGGGTCTGCCCCCCACTGAAACCCCCTCCCCACGAAGCGCCACGAACAGCTGGGCCCCGCGGCTGTGACCGCCCCGCCCGCATCCCCGAGGGCGCGGAGGCCGCTCGGCGGCGGGGGAGCGGCGGCAGCGGCGGCGGGGAGCCGCGGGAGGCCGGGGTTACCTTCGGGGTGCTGATGTGCTCCATGGCCGCCCGGCCCCGCCGTGAGGGGCGGCCCCGCCGCCATCAGCGCCCGCGGCCCGCCCCGCCCCGCCCGCCTCGCGAGAGCCGCGCGCCGCGCCGCCATCTTGGCTGAGGGCAGCGCTGAGGGCAGCGCCCGCCCCGAGCCACCGGCGTGTGCCCGGAGAGCGCGGGATGTGCCCGGTGCCCTGCACAAACCCCCGGGATGTGCCCGGAGCCCCTTCACAGAGCCCCCGGGATGTGGCCGGAGCCCTGCCCAGACCCCCGGAATGTGCCCGGTGCCCCTTCACAGAGCCCTCGGGATGTGCCCGGAGCCCTGCCCAGACCCTCGGGATGTGCCCGGAGGTCCCGGGATGCGCCCGGATCCCCTGGCCGAAGCATTCGGGATGTGCCCGGAGACCCCCGGATATGCCCAGCCCCTCTTCCCAGAGCCCCCGGGGATGTGCCCGGAGCCCTGCACAAACCCCCGGGATGTGCCCGGAGCCCGAGATACTCCTGGAACTCCCGGGATGTGCCCGGAGCCCTCGGGAGCCCCTTCATCCTCCGCTCCATCCTGCCGCAGTCCCACCATCTCCTCCTGCCTTTTTCCCCTCCCAGCACCGGCGTTCGCGGAGCTGTCAGGGAATATTTCAGGGAAAAAACACATTTTTCTCCTCCTCAAAGCATGCGGCCATCAGCTGTGCCGTCTGGAGGGGCAGCAGGCTGACAGCATCCTCCTCTCCAGAAAGGGGCTGGAGGCACATTTATCACGTTAACACTTGTCACACTTCCCACAGCTAGTAACACCTGTTCATCCTGTTCATCCTGTTTGCCTTGGATTTTAAATTCCAAGCACGATGCTGTGTCTCGTGGGTGCCCAGCCTGGATCCCGGAGAACTGCTGGAATTGTTGTTCATTCCTGCAATCAGTGTCGGTGTCTCACAGCCCCAAGGGCAGCAGCTTCCCAGGGGTTTGTTCCAACCCAAACCTTGAATTGCCAAAAAAATCCCTTCAGGAGTCTCAGAATGTACAGGTTTTAATTGTTGGGGATCTTGGATTGAGTCTGAAAATTTACAAGTTTGAATTACTGGTGATCTTGTGTCAAACCTGACAACTTATAGGTTTTAATTATTGGTGATCTTGTATTGAGCCTGAGAATTGACAGCTTTTAATTACACCATAATCCAAATCCCAGACTGGTTTGGGTTGGAAGGGACAAGAAAGCTCATCCAGTTCCAATCCCTGCCATGGGCTGGGACACCTTCCATGGGTGTTATTCCATATTCCATAATTTCTACCCCTCCTACAAACCCACTCAGATCATGGAAAGAAGAGACACACGGGCTGTAATTCCCAGTTTGGAGCAGCACAGGTTCCTCCTCTGCAATTAGTGGGGGCAGCGCTCGTTAATTAAGGCTTTGTGTTGTGCTTCACGTGATCCAAAGGCTTTTTCCCCCTCGGCAGCTTCTCCTGGGGTTTGCAGAAGGATGAGGGTGGTTTATAAGGTTAATAAGAAATGGGGTGGGCACCATTTAGGGGACCTTGCAGCACCACACAAAATATACCTGTGGAACAGCAATGCTCCTTCCTCCTCTTCCCAAAGGAAAGTGCAGAAACACACGGCAAAACTAAATAATGAGGGAAGAAATAAGGATGTGGAGATGAGAAGAGCTGGAGGAACATCTGCATTGCTCAGCCATGCCACACTCACAGCTTCTCCCCGAATTTGTGCCACAGGGATCGGTTTGAGCAGGAATCTCAAGGAATAAAGAGAGCTGAATTCTTCCAGGGGGCTTTTCCCAAGTCACAGATGGGTTTGTGCCCATCTTGTGTCTGAAATCTGCATTTATTGAGCCTGAGGAGATGAGACAAAGGGAGGGGGCAGAAGGAAATAAACAGAGAATGAGGGGAAGGAGGGAAGGAAGGGAGGAAGGAGGGAAGGAAGGAATTAATTTGTGTGGTGGGAAAGGCCGGGATCGGCTCCCACTGTGGCTTTTGAGGTTTTAGTGAATTTAAGCAACAAATTGTCCATTTGAGTGAAACCCACCCTGTAAATCCCAGTCCCGGGGGATCCCAAGCCAAAATCCCAGCGGCAGAAAAATCAATTTTTCTTTGAGCAAATCCAGCGAATTCCAGAGCTTTTCCCCTCCCCTTGGCAAAACCCTTTTCTCCCTGCTTTTATTTTGTTTACCTTTTTTGGCTCAGCTGTTCCCGATCTCTTTTCTGAGGGGTTGGGATGAGGAGATTGGGCCGGGATTTAGGGAGAGAGGAATGCGCTCCCTGCCAGGTTTTTTCTGGGAAAAAAAACCCGGAATCCAGAGGTAAAATCTGGTATTTTGATAATGAAAGTGCAGCCCTTTTCCAGAGAATTCCTCCGGCCTAATTGGATCTGCTTTCCCTGTTCCCGTGCGCTCCTTGTTTGGTTATTTACGGAAAACATCTGTCCGAGGCCTGGCGGCTCCCTGAGCTGGGAATTCAGGGAAAATCTTGGGAATTTTCTTGGGAAAAAATATCCAAATCCCAGGCACCCTCTGGGGGGGACAGGAGCCCCCAGCAGGGCAGGGAAAAACCCCAATTCCGTGGGAAAAATATGGAATTTTCCGGGCTGGAAAAGAAATTTTCCTCCCCCCCGCGCGGTTCTGGGATAAAGGCAGGGATGGATTTTCGAGGGGAAAAACGGGATCGGTCCCAGCGCTGCCTCAGCTGTGATTAACCCGGGTAATTAATCCAATTAATTAATTAATTAGTTAATCCCGGGGTGGGACACGGGGGAGGCCGAGGTCTTCCAGGCCGGTGTCATCATCGCTTTGGAGGTTTCCATCGTCTCCCGCGGATTTCATGGATTTGGGGAAGTTTTTCCTCCCTTTTCCCACTCCCGGGCTGGAGCTGAGGGAATTCGAGCCGAATTCCAGAGGGAATCTCCCGATTCCCGGGATCCGGCCCCAGCTGCGGGCACAGCCCGGCTTCAAATCCCGGGATTTGTGGGGTGGGAAAGGGCCGGGAGCCCTGGAATTCCCAGGATTTGGGGTTCAGCGGTGGCAGCTGGAAATCAGCTGGATCCTACCTGGAGCAATCCTGGGAATTCCTCCTCCCTGCGCCTGGCACAGCCCAAGATCCCAAACCCCGCTGGCTTTTTGGGGAATTTTTGGAAGTCCGAAGAAATGCTGGAGGAATTTTTCTGGATTTCCCCCATTTCACTGGGAATTTCACTGGATTTCCCCCGTTTCGGTGGGAATTTCTCTGGATTTCCCCCATTTCAGTGAGAATTTCACTGATCTCCCCCATTTCACTGGGAATTTCACTGATCTCCCCCATTTCACTGGGAATTTCACTGGATTTCCCCCCGGTTGCAGCAGGAATCTCTTCCCATCCCCTCTCCGGTTCCCTCATCCCTTTCCCTCTGTCCCAGGCTCCCCAATTCCCTTTTCCTGTCTCCTCTCCCCATTTTCCCGGGATCCTGATCTCATTCCCGGGGCTGTATCCATGCCCTTGTGCTCAGGCCGAGCTTCCCGAGCTCGCTCCGCTGGGAACGGCGGCTCCAAGGGCTTTGGCGACATCCAATTTGGGATGAGAACCCCAAAAATCTGGGATGAGAAGGGTTACGGTAGGAACCCCAAAAATTTGGGATGAGAACCCCAAAAAATTTGGCCTGGAACCCCAAAAATTTAATATTAAAAACCCCAAAAATACGAGCCTAGAACCCCAAAATTCTGACTCTGGAACCCCAAAATTCAGAGCCTAGGACCCCAAAATTCTGAGCCTAGGACCCCACAGTCTGAGTCTAGAACCCCGAAAATCCAGAGTATAGAACCCCAACGTCTTAGTCTAGAACCCCAAAATCCACAGCCTAGAACCCCAAAGTATTGGTCTAGAACCCCAGAATTCAGAGCCTAGAACCCCAAAATTCTGGATCTAGAACCCCAAAACCAGAGCCTAGAACCCTGAAATTCAGAGCCCAGAACCCCGAAAACCCTGAGTCTAGAACCCCAAAAATTCTGAGTCTAGAACCCCGAAATTCAGAGCCCAGAACCCCAAAAGTATGAGCCTAGAACCCCGAAGTCTTGGTCTAGAACCCCAAAATCCAGAGCCTAGAACCCCAAAATTCTGGATCTAGAACCCCGAAACCAGAGCCTAGAACCCCAAAAATTCTGAGCCTAGAACCCCAAAAATTCTGAGCCTAGAACCCCAAAAATTCTGAGCTTAGAACCCCGAAATTCTGAGTCTGGAACACCAAAACCAGAGCCCAGACTATATAACCCCAAAAATCCAGAGTCTAGAACCTCCAAAGTTCCCAAGACCAGAGCCCAGAACCAGAGCCTAGAACCCTGAAATTCTGAGTCAAGAACCCCAAAATTCTGAGTCTAGAACCTCAAAAAAGAGCCTAGAACCCAAAAAAGCTGGAATGAGAACCAAAAATTGAAGGAAGGAAGGGAAGGAAGGCCCACAGCATCTTCAGGATACCCGTTTTTGCTGTCATTTGAAGTCACATTATTCCAGAATTTCCCCTGTTCTACAGGAATCTGTAACTCTTTTGGTCTTGCTCTGAATTCCTTACATTGACATTGATTCTGCCATTCACCCTCATGCTGGACAGGCTTTGTACTGACAGAAAAGTGATTTTCTAAATTTATTTTGCAATTTGCAGATCAGTTTGAAGTTCCTCAGCTTGCAGGAACAAGCGAGCTAAATTGTAGGTCTGCTCTGTTCCCCACCAAGCAATTCCTGTAATAAAAATCTCATTTTTTATTACTCATTCCCCACTTAGGAAGTGTTTAACAGGCAGATAAAATCTAACACAATAAATCCCTACCAACAAAACGGCGAAATCTTGTGTGATGCGGATGAAAATGACATTTTGGGGGGAGATGTTTGAGGAAAGAACAATTTCTTGTGCTATTTTTACTGCCAGAAGGGTGGGAGGGGGCATTACCAGACACCCACGCTGAGTGCCAGAGGGGCTGTTGCAGAGCCTTCTCTACAAGTGTCACCAAGAGAATGCTGCCAAAAATACCCTGAAATGATGAGTTTAGATCCAAT